AAGTGGTATGTTCCTTTTTTGTCTTATAATTTTAATCATTAATTTACAAATCCATATCAGTGGATAAATGTTACTAGTCAATAATTAAGTTTCCGGAGAAGAAGCACGCAAACCTTGGGTGACTTAGGCATTTCCTTGAGAAGAACAGAAGGTCTACTGAGTTCTGAGAGCTGCAAATCCAATCGAAATTTGCCCATGGGAAGGATTCAGATCAAGTCAACCTGAAATTACAACTTCCAAGTAAACCATCTTTAAATCAAAAATAATTTAATAGGCAATCATTAGTTCCTCGGATTATGCTTGTTTGGAGCAGATGCAGAATATTTCTATTTTCCAGGACACATTTTGCAATTTCAACTATTTAATTTAGAATGTTAGATGATACAGAATTATACAAATACTCATATTTGACAAATAAGCACTCCCCAATATGCAAATAAATGTAGAAACATACAAGAAAGATGTCAACACATAGGTGTTCTATCCGAAACATGCAAAAAGATATAACCAGATGGGTGTTCGGAGATACAAACCATTTCTGGTATGGCGCAACCTATGAGTTGATTGCATTAATTAGAGTCTGCGATAAATCTCTGTCAAGTGTAAAGCCCTTCTCCATCATTTGATCCCAAATTGCACAAGCCACTGAGAGGTTCTTCTCCTGTACAAGGCCTCCAATAATCAATTTGAAGGTGATTTCATCTGGATCCAAAGCTCTAGCTTGCATATCTTCATAAAGACGCAGAGCTTCATTTACTCTAGAAGCCTTGCAAAATCCGCTGATTAGTGCATTATACGAGATAACATCAGCCCCAACACCCTGTTCCACCATATCATGGAAAATGCTCTCAGCCATCCCTATTTTACCTGTCTTGCACAGGTTATCTATAATAGAAGTGTAGAGTACACGATCTGGAAAACAGCCCATGCTGATCATCTGATCAAAAAGTGCCTTGGCTACACTGGAATTGCCTTCCTTTAGAGAAGCTTCTATAAGAATTGTAAAAGTTACAACATCAGGAACAATTCCTTTTTGCTCCATCTCCTCGAAGAGATTGTATGCCCTCTTACTGCAGTCTGTCCTGCAGAGCGCTCTAATAATAGTATTATAAGATACAACATCTACCAAGCCTTTGGCCTCCATCTTGTGAGTCATTAGCTTATAAGCCTTATCCAATCTATTGGCTTTGCAGAGACCTTTAAGAAGCTGGTTATAGCTGTAACAATCAGGTTCCAACCCAATTCCTTCCATCTTCTCTATCAACTTCTCCGCCTCTTCCAACATAAGCTCCTTACAACAATAATTCAAGAACACATTATAAGTAACTAAATCTGGTTCACATCCGTTTCTCCTCATGAACGTTTTAATCGCTTGTGCTTTGTCAATCCTACCAGCTCCACAAAACCCATGTATCAGCACATTGTAAATTTCCGTGTTGAATTTGACTTGACCCCTTAGAATACCCAAAGTCAGCTCATAAGCCAAATCAACCTTACCACTCCCGCACAAGCCGAAAACAAGAGCTTTACAAGCCTTATTGTCTGGAATTAATCCTTTCCTAATCATTGTATGCCACATTTCAACAGCATTATCGAAGCGTCCAATCCTACACAGCCCACTAATAAGAATGGTATAACTCACAACATCAGGCTCTTTCCCTTTTGCTCCCATTATTCTAAACAACTCCAAAGCAATTTCAACCAAATGTTCACTGCGCAAAAGATTCAAATACGTATTATAAGCCCAAAAATCAGGGACTATACCAACCATATCCATGTCATTAAGAAGCCTATGAATAAGATCAAAGTTCTTAACTTTACACAAACCACAAATGAATCTTGAATATGTCAATGAATTTAAGGAAAACCCCATAGGCTTCATTTCACGATAGTAGCATTCTGCTAAATCAAAACGCAAGTTACGAATCAAAACGCCAATTATTCTGTTGTAATCAATGCTGAAAACTCTGCAGTCTGACCGAGTCATTTCGTCGAACACCTGGAGTGCTTCGTTCACTAGGCCGGTCTTCACGTAATTTGACATGCGGGCACGGTATATGAGTCGATGCTTACCAAGAGTTCTATACATATCAATGTGGATTCCTCAGAAGCGAAAGCATAGCATCGCTTTCTTGAGCTCAAAGGCGCCAATATATGTTGAAATATTGGCTTGACGTAGAAGTGTTTAGATTAGTTAACAGTAAATTGTACAGGATGATAATGATAAGGTTAACGGGGAAGCTTCAGGATGGGCAAAAGTACAGCGAAGTAATTTCATGCGCTTTGTGCTTTGTGCTTAAAAGAAAAAGAGGGGGGCGTGGGGGTGTGGAGAGAGAGGGAAAGGAGGTTTCGGCACGGAGAAGATTGGCAGGGGAGAAAGGGGTTTGGGGGCCCAAATCCAAAGTCCAAATTCTGGAGACCAAAGACGACGAGTTCAAAACTTTAACTACGGTGCAACGCAAAGGATCAATTTTCTATAATGGACTGTGATGTGGGCTTCTCTAGCATGGGTGTGATAAATGTAAAAATTTCACGAGCCGTCCTATTTAGTCGCTTGTATCCATTTTTTTATTTACATTCCTATGCCATATAGTAAACTATATTACCCTTTATGCTTAACTTTTAATATAATTACCTTTTATATACCTAATTATCATTTATGTACCATTTTAGGATTTTAATGGTATTAATTAGTCTTCTAATTTTACTTAACCGTATATTCCCACTCCCCCCAAGTTTCTCTCTCCAAATCTCACCACCTCACTCACGTATCAAACCACACCCACGATTTCCTCTTCAATAACCCACAATTTCCTTTCTAAAACCAACGAAAATCTGGAAGACCTCCGTTAATGCCTATTCTCAAGCTCTTTCTTCTAAAATCAGTCAAAATTTCAATTATTCTTCAAAGTTTATTCACCCATTAACGACCAGCTTCAAAGATTTTCAATGAAGAAGAACAAAGCTTCCAAAAAAAGCCCTAAAAAAGTTAAAGAGGCAGATGTTCTTTCTTTCGATTTGGGTGTTTTATCACCACATTCACTGCAAAAACATGAAAAATCTGCTCATGCAAATGAAGAGAAGAAGCGTAGGCTTTCCCTCGTCAAGCTAGGGCAGAAGCTAGAACTAAACAAAAACATGATTTTGATGCTGGTGAATCTTCCAGGCAAATCAATTCAGCGAAAAGGAAAGGCAAAGAGATAGTTTTCTGAATCTGTTTAAACTTGTAGATGTATTGTAAAAAAATTATAGTTATTTTGTTTTTTTTAACTGTATTATGTAGTTGTAGATATATTGCATGACAAATGTAGATATGTTGTTTTTTAGATTGGAGCAGTGTATTAATAAGAGACTGGTGCAACATCGTAGAAGCTATGGAGCGATACTGTGGGACTACGCTAGGAAGAAGCAAGAGAATGGTGCAATTAGTAAAAGTGAGGTGACTGGCAGATTAGCAAGGAAAAAGGTGCACCAGTTGTGAACGAGAAACCACAAGTCTGGAGGAAGAAGAATTAGATGCAATTTTTTTTATGGAACATGTAGTTAAATTGTTTAGTTGCAGCTAGTTTTGTAGAAAGATAGTAGACAAGTTTATGAACAAGATTGTTGAAGTTTAATTGCAGCAGATTTGTGCTACAATTATTTTACCCTTTATTTTTTTATTTTATCTAGTATACTAGTTCGAACAATGGGGAAACATTCTGTTATTTTTATATTTCACTTGTTGAAAGTAAATAGTACTTGATCTAATTATTGTTACTGGTTAACTCCTTTTCAACTTAATTATTATGTAGTTACTCTGTCAACTCCAGATTATGTAGTTATTTTGTAGATAAATTGTAACGATCATTAACATCTATCGATAGGTGCTAGAGATAATAAAACAATTGTGTATTATATATATAGAAATCATTCACAAACCAATCAAGCTATGAAAGTATTAACTCAATACAGAATACTAATTAAACAAAACAATTTCAAACGAACTACATTAAGAGTTGAAGGTGGCTAAACTATTACACATCAAATATAATTCTCCTGAACTCATCAACAGTTTTCATAAGACTCATTCATGTGCCTTAAAGCAGCTAAAGCATTCATCAAGCTGGAATTGCCCACAGCTACATCTCTTGTTTTCAAGACAAACAATATAGCGCTTCACACCATCTATCACTGTATGGATATGATCTGTTGAAGCCCTCACCTACAATTACATTACAAATAAAAAATAATTCATATACAATCAGAATACAAAATATCTACAAATTATCTTTTGTCGTTTGTAGATATTTTGTAGTTAATTTGTAGAAATATTGAAATTCTGTATTTCATATTAAGCTACAAATGATATGTAGTTTTATTGTAGAAATATGGAATGAAATTCAATACTAATATATATATATATATATATATATATATATATATATATATATATATATATATATATATATATATATAGTATTTGACATGTAGTTTTTTTACAATATTAGTTATAAATATATGATGACTAATTAATGTATATTCACGAAAAAAATATATATCTTAAATACCAAATATAATATCATTTANTGACTGCATGTGACCGAGCGAACCAACTGTATGGCTGGATCAACATGTGGTATAACTATGAGCTAGAGGTAAATGTAAAACATGATAATCTGCTAAAAGGCCTGACTGAAATATCATAGACGCGGAAAATACTGAAATGTCTGCAAGTATAAACAAGTAGCCAACAAGGCTAACGCATGAAAGCCTGCTAATATCTGACTGACTGGGTTATAGTCTACGAAGCCTCTAAGGAATACTGAAAATGCCAACTGTTTACCGGGACAAGGTCCCCGGTATACCTTATTAACTGAAATACCATAATGACTAAAACAAAAGAGAGATAAGGCCCCGAAAGACTGGGGATCACCAACAACTGATACGAGATGTCCTAACAAGCAGGCCCCGGGCAAAAAGGGACGTCAATACATTTGAATTGCACTGGTATGTAAAATAGCTGAACAAAAGAGCTGTAAATACTGGAACTGAACTGAACTGCTAGCTGATAAACTGATAACTGGACAAGGAAGTAAGGATGTGAATACTCCCTCTCTTGAATGATGAACAACCTGTTTAACTGAATATTAAATTGCGGCCTCAGTCCTAATATATATATATATATATATATATATATATATATATATATATATATATAAATAATTGCGGCCTCGGGCCTAAGTATACGTATACATAACTGCGGCCTCAGGCCTAAAGATGCATAAAGCATAAACTGCGGCCTCAGGCCCAAATATAAGTGTTCAACATTCAGGAATTTAGANCTTCTTCTACTTCTTATTCTTTTCGTCGTCATCGTCGTCGTTGTGAAAACAAAAGTCACGGTGGATTTACATGATATTTGTGAGCATATTTTAAGGTGTTTTATGGAATATTATAGTAGTGAGCTGATATGGCGCTCCTTTCTTTACTACTGCTTAGGATTTTTTCTTCTTCTTCTTAATTGTAAAATGAGTTTGTTAGATTTATTTTAGATTTGTTATTGTTTTGAAAAATAATTAGGGTTTGTACTTTATGATATTTGGAGGCTATATTCCAAATTTGAGCTAATTTGAAGTAGATCTAGGTATTGAATCGTATGTTGGATTGTTAAAATTCGAAGAACAAGTTTTTGTTTCTGGGTAATTTGCACTTCAGACCTATTAGGCCTTAACTGCATGAAAACATTGGTTGCACTTCAGACATATTTGGCCTTAAGTGTAACTTTTTCACTTCATACTTATTTGGCCTTAAGTGCATGAAAATATTTATTGCACTCTAGATCTATTTGTCCTTGTGCAAATGCCCCTGCAAAAATTGGATCATTAAAAATGTTGTTTAAATTTTATCCCCCTTTAAGACTTTTACAAATATAACATTGGTATTACACGCTCCGAAGTAGGGGTGCTATCGATAGGTACGGTACGATATATAGACATTTTGGTACGGTATTTTCGGTATTCGGTTTCTTAAAATGCAATACCAATACCGTACCTAATTAAATTCGGTACGATTCGGTTTTTCTCCTTTCGGTTTCGGTTTATTCGGTTTGGTAACTTTGATTTATTGGGTTCGAATATTAACTAGTGCATAGAGTCATAAACGGTAATATTCTAAATTAACGTACTCAAAAGTACAAAACTAAAAATATTTGTTGACAAAAGTCTTGTCCAAAATTAGCAAATACCAACAGAGAGAGAGAAAGTTGTACATAAAAGAATAAATTTGATCATTAGAAATGTCTTGTTACTTGCTTAGAGTTAATTGATGAACTTAGAGTATAAAGGAAAGTAAAATTTTAGATTTTTATATTTATGTTATAACTAATAATATGTGTATTCTGTAATATAATATATATTTCGGTACAATATCGGTATTTCGGAATTTCATTTTAAAATACCAAATACCATACCTAATACCAATATTTTTTAAAACTTAAACCAAATACCATACCAAATACCAAAATATCGAATACCAAATACCAAAATTTTCGATTTCGGTACGGTAATTCGGTATTTACCAAATTATGCACAGCCCTATTCCGAAGAATGAAAAACTCTGTTCACAAGTTTTGACCAAAACCATCCTTATATTTGTACATAACTTCCACTATATTCTTGTAATATATATATATCTATATTATATTAAAAGGAGAGTAGTATGCATTGTGGTTAAGCCAAGTGGCAATCTAAAATAAAGCCACTTGGCAATTTTAGGACAACATTAATAATTAAGAATTACAAATGGAAACATAATTAATGGAAGTAGTTTAATAAATCTTACCCATATCCAAATAGATCTTAGACAAATCCAATCTTTATATCTATATTTATATTTAAATGTGTATGTATATGTGGATCTATATCTATATTTATATCTATATATTGATCCACTCATAGATTTTCTTCTATATTAGCTAGAAATATAGAAGTAAGAAATTAATTAAAAAACTAGAATATAAAAAAATAAAAATATAGAAAGACATAAATTAAGATAAGCTATGACTATTTATACTTTGGAGCTATAAAATAAAACTAAAATTTACTTAAGATACTAAAGATTTATTGAGTTTAAAAATTAAATAAATTCAAGCAGCAAATTAAGATCTTACATAAAGTATACAAATGATTTATAAGGTACAACAACAACAACAACCCAGTAAAATCCCCACAAGTGGGGTCTGGAGAGGGTAGTATGTACGCAGACCTTACCCCTACCTCGAAGGAGTAGAGAGGTTGTTTCCGGAAGACCCTCGGCTCAAGATAATAAGAAAAACAAAAAGGAGAGAATATTAGTTTCACCACAGAGATCATAGGAAAATAGGAACATAAAATGCATAAGGAAAAATGCGAAACAAAAATGATGGCTAG